TGAAGATGTACAAAAAGAGACTCCCATTTGGGATCATAACTTTATGACATCCTAATTCAGGGCCCAATGGCTTTCCAGATCCCAAGAGGGTGGGGGCCAGGGGTGGGGTAATGCAGTCCACCAGCCCTCGTAGTTGACCACATCTGCCTTAAATAAAAATAAGTATTTGTATGTTCACAGTACAACTATCCTGACTGCTGCCTATCTTGTGTGGTATGGCCAAGTCTGAACTTTCTGCCTTATTTCTAAATACATGTGAGCCGATTTAGCTGAAGACAAACATAATACCAAGTGAATTATAATTATTTTCTGAAGAGAACTAAATGATATGGGTTTTTAAAATGATAAAATCCCGATACTAGTATCTATGTCTTCATCATTCCACAGGCTTTCACTAGGATTCATTTTAACCAGAGTACAGGCAATCCCCGAGTTACAAACATCTGACTTACAAATGATTCATAGTTACAAAGAGGGTGCAACAACAGAGTGTGAGGCAAATCTATCCCTAGGAAAGGAAATTCTCTCCTTAAAGAGTTATCAGGGAGGAAAGGTGTCTCCACTGAAGCTTTCTCATCAATCCTTGTTTCCACAACAAGCCAAAATTTTCAAAATCCATTTATCACAGTGACAAAAAGTTTGGGTTTTGTGTGTGTGTGTCAGGAGTGACTTGAGAGACTGCAAGTTGCTTCTGGTGTGAGAGAATTGGCCATCTGTAAGGACATTACCCAGGGAACGCCAGGTTGTTTTTATGTTTTACCATCCTTGTAGGAGGCTTCTCTAATGTCCCCGCATGGGGAACTGGAGCTGACAGTCGGAGCTCATCCACGCTCTCCCCGGATTCAAACCTGCAACCTGTTGGTCTTCAGTCCTGCCGGCACAAGGGTTTATCCCACTGCGCCACCAGGGACAGAAAGTGAGGTGATATCTTCTGAACAGGGGCACAGGCAGCAAAACAAATACCACAGGGGTGTAAACCCTTTCCTATTCTATGCAAAGATAAAGATACACACACACACACACACACACACACACACATATGGCTGGAGTTACATTTTTAAAAGTATCTGTTCTGACTTACATACAAATTCAACTTAAGAACAAACCTACAGAAACTTTATTGTTCGTAACTTGGGGACTGCCTGTACTCTTTACAATGGAGATTGGGTATTTGCTAGCAATTAAGCTGTCTACTTTACTGTGTACTTAGGGAGCCTTGATGGTGTCCTATTAATTTAAATGTGATAATAATTCCATGATAAAGCTTCACAGCCTGCTACATCAGCTGCTAATGAGATGTCAGCAATTCTCTCTAAGACACAAAAAGATAACAAAAGACTTTTCTTCATGACTGTGCCCCACAGACATTTGCACATGGAGCACAAAGGAAAGCTATCTAAGCTCTTCATTGCAGCAAGAAGGTTGTATGTTTTTTTTCTCTTAAAATGCATTTTATGCCTTTAGAATCCTAGTTCTCTGTATGGAAAATTTTGGATGGGCATAGTGCAATGTCATCCCACTGAATCTCACCTACACTGTGAAGTGGTGCAACCCACACCAAATGGAAATGGAGCTTCATAACATCACCATAGCCAGGTCCATGATATCACAACTTTTTGCCCTTATGTCTCAGGTTTGGATCCTGAAATTTCTGGGTCTAGGTTGGCACTAATGTAGCAAGACTACTGTCAACTTACTTTCAGAATCAGAGATGGGATGGTTGAAAATAGTCTGTAATTCCAGACTGATTGTTCCAGGTTCAGTGTGTGGAGTCTGTAAGCTGCTCTTAAACAGCAGTAGCCGCAACTTCTTCTCTTCCTCTTCCTCTTTTTAAGGGGATGGGACCCAGGTTACTGAATCACAGAATTTCTTCATGACTCATACTTTTGTCCCAAAGGCATGCCATTTCACACATGACATTTCCCCCTGTAGAATATTAATCTATACAAAGAACAGCATATATTTGTATATGTACCATGTCAAGTTTGAAAACAGTACATTTGGTAGTGATTGCTGGTACTTGGAAGCTGCAATTCCAAACACACCAAAATCCATACCTGTGCAATTTTTAAACATGGCAATATATACTGCTGTAAAACAAGACTCCTCTATGTAGGAAATACTATGTGTGAAGCAGCCTTTCTGTGGTCACACAGAGGTCAGAATGACTATGACAGGTACAAGAATGAAAAAGGTAGCATTATATCCTAGGATTCCTTCATTCCGCTGCATATTAAATGACCCTAGTTAATCTGATCCTGTCAGGATCAAGCGGACCTGGAATGAACTTTGCATATTTCTGCTACCTAATGCAACTAACTATCCTCTTGTGTTAAGAAACAATGTACAGCTATTATAGGTTGGTATTGGACTGAATTATTATTGCTGTTCTCGAAACAGGGTCACTAAATTAATGGATACTTAATAAAACAATAATCTTTCCCCCTGAAATATTGCTAGAGAATGCGCCCTAAGATTCAGGACTATAATTAAGCTCAGACAGACAGAGAAGATAACTGCAACAGAAACCTAATTCTGTTTTATGTTTTTACTGTAGTGCTCACTTCTAAATTGAAGCAAAGCAGGCGAAATTAACTATCACTATGTCCCAGTAAACTGATTATGTTTCAGAGGTTGTTGCCATATATACACTCTGCACTGAAGAGTATATCTGGATTGCCTGTAAACCTTACTTCAAACAATTTGTGTAGTACAAAAAACAAGATAGATGGAAGAGCTGCTTTCCTCACCTACAGAACAGATGACAGTTTTAACCTTCCCCTGCCTTTCCTCTCCTTTGTCCTCATTCATTCATTCTCGCCTCTTCCTTGGAGCCTGCTAGCACTGTAGCTGCATGCACTCTGTGGAAAGGCTATAATTAGAATATGATGCTTGCTGCACTTTTACTGCATGGGCTGTGGTTTCCGATAAGAATCCCTCAGGGACCCTGATTCATTCCAATGAAACTGTTACCATTGTCCTTCCGAATGAATCCATTGATTATTTTTTCAGAGATATAGGAAACGACTCTTCTCATTCATGTGTTCTGTAAACACTAACAAGGTTAGACGTGGCTGAACCACTGGGATGGAGACTGAGTGGTGGTCATGGTGGGAATATTTGGGCTTCAGTCTTCCTTCCTGCAATCCTATTTACTAAGGCAAACCATAACTGAAGCTGAGAAAGGAGTCAAAAGATGATGGTTTCTATTTCATTATGCTTTCTGCATTCAGTTGCTGGGCTGCCTCCTCCCCATGATAAACCTATCTCCTGCTATTGATGGGAAAACCTGTCAATATCTGCACATCATTCCACTACCATGCCAGCATGCAGGGTACGATTCTTTCTCCCGCATTTGTGAGTTCTAATTTTTTGATATGAAGTTTTATATGAATATTTCAAAAATAGCTTTAACTGGAATTGTGAAATTGCTCTAAAATATGAACTAGAGCATAGTTATGAGGTTATGAAGTACGACCTCATTTGCATGAGTGCAGAGATGTGCAATAGTGAGGGTGCTTATCCCGACACGTTATCGCTATCAGTTATTGCGTGACTGCTGTGCAATAGTGGCTTCATAGGATAAAGTCCATTATTCACCTTGGTTACCACTGCAAAAGTATGCACCAGTGAGGAATTCCTACTAAACTGAATAGAAATTTAGGTTTGTACTGTAAGCATGCAGTTATACAAACATACATCTGCTAGGTACCTTTTTCAAGGGACTCAAAACAAGAGCCACATGCAGACCCTGTGTTATGAGGTGTGGCACAGGTGAAAAGAAAAAGGCAACAAAAGACGCAAATCCTTGTTAGCATGGCACACACACTGATGCATAGCCTGAGCTGTGCTGATTCAGCTGAATGGGCAACACTCCCCTCTGCTGGACAAAACAGACTTTGTAGTAGCTGACTTTGGGAGAACTACCACATCCCTTTAGTCTTATGGGAAGATACCATCTGTGCAGCAATCCTTCTGCTGTGCGCACACACAAAAGCAAACCTCCACACATATCCTTCCATAATCAAGTCCACAGAATGGTCAAGTAGCTAAGTGTGGGCTAAGTGGTTTAAGTAATATCCCTTTCCTTCAAATCAATTCATTAAATCATTGCTTACTGCAAATCATGGAGTCCATTCACCCATTCCATCTTCCACTCTGCATAGTATTGTGACCAAAGTCTGCTGATGAAACACCTTCTATAGCTGTGTTCAGTAATCAGATTACAATTCTCCTTAGACAAACTGCTGACTTAAAAGCTAAGATACCAATTCTTGCTACATGTTGTGGTAGTAAATTCCATTAAAAATACATCAGGGTGTAGCACTCCATGGCTACAACACTAAACATGGAATTCACCTGTAGCAATTTGCTGAATAAAATTTTAATCTATGTTTTAAAATTTTATAAATATACCAAACCATGTAACTATATTTACTTCCTAAATACAATAAATATTTACATGAAGCCAACCACAAGGACCCTGAGATCTGGAGCCTTGCAGATACCAGGATAAGGCATTCCCTGCACCTCAAAGAGTCCTCACTTGCTTTATCATGAGTCTTGGTGATATAACACATTGTCCATTCCCCAATAAACCTCTCTGTCTCTGTGTGATTAATGTCATGAGTATCACAAGAAATGGTATGACGTTTTCTCACTGATTGTCCAATCAATGCAGAAACACTAGTTGTACTTTCAGGGCTTGTCCAGCATAAATCATACAAAGTGAAACTATATTCACTAAGGCCACTATCACTATTTGAAAGGACTGGATTTAACAGTATTTCTCCATTCAATGGTGTTTATTCAAAGGAGTGAAAAAAATCTACAGGGGATTCAGAAATTGCAGGTATATAGTTGAAGCACACCAAGTAGCAAGGCAAACTAATCAGTGGCTGTCGAACACCATTTTGCACTTATTGTTATGCACATGTGGTCAATACTCTCAGAAATTATTTCCCTTTTCAGTTTTTCACTTCATTGCTGCCAATTCTTACCTGTAAGGATGGAGACGTTGTGGAAACAGCTGTCAAGCTTGCTGAGGAGAATGGAAAGAAAACTGTCGGAGGCCAGCCCATTTGCATTCTGTGTGCTCTGGTCATAGACTACTACATCTTGGTGCTTTTCTGCTTCCACCTGTAAGAGAAGTGCCACAAGAAAAGTCGTAACTTTGAAACAGAGGTTAACCCATAAAAGCTACCAGTACGCAGAAATCAAACAAAGAAATGCTGGAGCAAATTTCTTTACTGTACTCATCCAGGGACAAAATGGTTTGTCCATTCCCTCATGTGATTTCCCCTATAATTTTTTTTTAAAAAAAGAAATAGGTGGAAGAAAAAACTGGGGAGGGACATTTCAACACAAGATAGTTGTTTATGCTAGTGAGTGTATAAACTGCAACAGAACATGCTATTCTTATTCATGTAAGATGATACATACTGTTATTTTTCTCTGCAACACAGATTTGGCCCTACTTCAATACAGAACAAAGTTGTCCTTCAGTCATAGCAGTTAAAATGGATTCATAGCAGTACAACTGTATAGTGTGAAAGAATCCTATATTTTAATGCAATCTAAGTGAATGTCTTGGATGAACAAGCTGATTCACATGTCAAACAAAATAGAAAGCATAGCTCTAGTACAGTGGTTCTCAACCTGTGGGTCCCCAGGTGTTTTGGCCTACAACTCCCAGAAATCTCAGCCAGTTCACTAGCTGTTAAGATTTCTGGGAGTTGAAGGTCAAAACATCTGGGGGGGGGGGCACACATTGAGAACCACTGCTCTAGTATGATAAAGATTCTGGAACCACTCAAATGTATTTAGGAGCTATGTATCATACTATATAGTATACTACCTGAAGTTTGAGGAGAGAAAAGGTATTATTGACACTAAGACACTACTAATAATGCTGAGCTGCCCAAGTAATGTTGATACTTGATATAACAATTCAGAAAATTTGAAATTACGTAGTCTTACTTCTACACTATTAGAATCTCATCTCATAACAAAACCTCATATGGCACCTTAAAGTCTAATACATTTTTCATACATGAGCCTTGTAAGGTGTCTCATAACTTTTTTTTGTTGTCTCACCCAAATAAAAATTGATTCAAATAACCACCCTTTGGAAATTGTTGCTATGGTCACAAAATGTATAGCTATTTTAAATGTCAGTAATAAGGGATTTAGCAAGTACGATCCACCACCTTGAGATAGTACATTAATTTCACACCCACATGGTGCTCAGATTTCTCCTTACGAAGGGAATGGGTACCTATGTCACATAGACACACAAGAAGTAGGAAAGGGATTTTCTTCTCACATGGTTTGTAAATCCAAAGCCCTGTGACATTTTTTCCCACAAAAATTAAAACAGAATAAGCATGGTTGTGAATGGAACAACATTATCTTGCTTCGACTCTTCATCTTCATGCTTCCCACACCATTTTCAGCTCACAATATTGAAGGGATCGTTTTTGCTGAGTCTTTAGAAGACAAAGTATTGTGTTGTAAGAAAATAGTAGCACCTTATCAGTTTTTCATCATGGCGAAAGAAATCATGTATTTATGGCTCCTTAAAAAAGTGTGGGTTGAATGCAATACATTCATTGCATCTTTCAGATGCTTTTCCTCTTTTCCGAACAAGGATAGAGGCCACACACATTCTGGGTGGTAGGAACACATCCGCTCTCTTCCCCAGTATGAGAATAAGCTGTTCTTGGCCATCTGGCCTGTAATCAGTTGCCTTCACAGGATTTCTGTATGGCACAAAATGTGTTATGTGTGTATGTAATGATTGCAAGTTACAGCGGGGAACAGAGAAAGGCTGAGAAGATCTCTCTGCTACGACCAACCAATGTAAATAAATCTCATTCAGGCACACCACACACCTACAAAAAAGACAGGCTGAGATTCACCACCCTTAGGTCTGCATCCACGTGTCTTTGATCCCCACTCTAGAACAAAGGAATTTTCCTCTAGTGACAAGGCTCTGTGGCATACCTAGGCAATGGTATGAGTAGTTCAAGGCAGAGAGTGCAAGACACAGTCAGGGGCTGCTGTGCCTAATGAAAAGGTTAATGCATTAAAGGCTGATAAAATCCTCACAGTGCCATGGCTCAGTGCATCCACTGAATAGGCTGATGGGTGGCATACGTCGGCCTTCTGAGCTGGTGGCCTTCTGACTTCTAGTGCAAAACACATCTATCATTCTCCTGTCACAGAAAAGCAGCTGTGGTGAAGAAGAGCAAGAGAGAGAGAAGGAGGGAGATTGAAAGAGAGAGAGAGAATGCATAACAAGGCTGTGGGGAAGGGAAAGGAATAAATAGCAACTTCAACTACATTCCAGATAGGCTGAGATTAAGTCAGCTCTGGAAACTATATAAAATGAAGTTGGTTTGCACTCTCCAGACCATTCACTTTTTAACGTGCCAAATCCAGGATAACTGTGTAGAACTCACAGTCATAGAAAATAACTCCAGTGTAGGTCTGTGGCATAGCTATTCCCTTTACAGCTATTCCTAACTACACTGTGTCTACAACTATTTGTTTATTTATTTATTTATTTTGAGCCTTTCTATCCCGTCCTTCTCACCTCCGAAGAGGGACTCCGGACAGCTACCAACAGGCACCATTCAGTGCCGAACAATAAAAACAAGCATGATATACATTTAGCAGTCCATTAAAACAATCTATTTTGTGAAAGCTTGATCCCATAACCAGGGTTTGAGCTTCTTCCAGAAGGTCATGAGGGAGGGGGCAGATCTGATCTCATTAGAAAGGGAGTTCCACAGCCGAGAGGCCACCACCAAGAAGGCCTAGTCTCTCGTTCCCACCAAACACAACTGTGATGGCGGTGGGACCAAGGGCAGGGCCTCTTCAGATTATCTTAAAGTCCTTGGGGGTTCATAGAGGGAGATACGTTTGGACAGGTAAGCTGGGCCAGAACCATTTAGGGTTTTATAGGTCAAGGCCAGCACTTTGAATTGTGCTCAGAAGCTAATAGGCAGCCAGTGGTGCTGGTGTAACAAGGGGGTTGTACGCTCCCTGTACCCCGCTCCAGTGAGCAACCTAGCTGCCGAACATTGGACCAGCTGGAGCTTCCAAACAGTCTTCAGAGGAAATCCCACATAGAGTGCCTTGCAGTAATCTATACAGGATGTAACCAGAGCGTGGACCACCGTGGCCAAGTCAGACCTCCCAAGATACAGGTGCAGCTGCTACACAAGTTTTAATTATGCAGAAGCTCCCCTGATCTAATCTGTTATTTATTCTCCCAAAAAGAAATTGCTTAACCCATAGGAGTTGGGTTGGAGGTGTAATACAAGTTGTCTGATTTCTTTACAATACAGACTTTACCTTTTTCACAGCAGCTCCACACCAGGTCAACATTTTCACCACGCTATTTCATCATCACAGCCTAACAGTTCTCTGTTGGTCAGACATGCAGACCCCATCAATGTATATGTGAAATTATGACTTATGTTGTGTTGTCACCAACAGTTTTGTTACTGGCCGCTGTTAATAATACAATTCTCATTGTCAGTACTTCCTGCATTCAGTTTTGCTCTGACCCCAAATCCAACAGAGACCATAATCTATAAAATCTCATGCCTGTCTGCTGGTCTTAAAGGGCCACATGACTTTGTGCTGATATTTCCTCTTTTTGTTACAATAAACCACATTTGCCATTTTAATGTCCATTCATCCTTTTAGAGCTCTTGATTATTCCTCCTTTAAAAACTGCGCTGTCACACTCTTAAAAGGTTTAATATTTACTTCGGTTTTTACCATTGTCATTTTAGCATATAAATATTTAACACTGTTTTAACTCTCATATTAAATACTGGGTTTTAACTCTGTTTTGGACATTGTTTCCTAATGCCTAAATGTATATGTTCTTATTCTGACATTTGTACTTCTTTTTGGGGCTGGTCATTGACCTAAATAAATGTATCTATTCATTAAAGTATACTCTAAATAATATGTTATTGTCAGGGAATCTATAACTGCAGTTTGGTCCTTAAGATTAATGGATTCACTAGCATATCAGACAGCTTCATCAATGCATTAAGATGGTGGAGAAGGTAGAGGAATGCAGACACACAGGCTATGGATGAGCTTTTTCCAGGCATAATGGATCTCAAAGACTCATTGATGCTATTGTGCACAATATTATCCCAGAAAACAGACTCATTTTATCTGTGTGGTGCCCTTCAAATGTGCTGTTGCTAGACAGAACCCTACCCAGCCATCCATCTTACCACCACATTGAACCTTTTTTTGCAAAGCTTGGTGATACAGATATAAATGGGAAGGACAGCAGCTTGGATGAATAGAAATGGCTTCACTATTCTGCCCTTTTATAAACATTATTCCCCCCTCCCAAAAAAAAAAGCTGAGGGTACAGTCTCACTTATTCATATAAACCCAGAGTTGTTTAAGGAACACATATTTGCTTTCAAGTTATCCAATCAAATAGGATTCAAGTAGCCATAGTTGCTCCTGTTCATGTCCTCTTCTAGCTTTGATGCCATATCCTAAACATTTGGCCAGCAAGGTAAGTATGAATAAACCTATGTTCAGTGTGAGAAACGGATATCACAAATGTGTTGCTAGAATTGCTTTTTTAAAGGATGAGATAAACAATGAACTAATTGCATTCCTCCACCAATTTCCTTGAACAGCCAGACTTTGACAACAAAAGCAGCTACAGGGGCATTGCATTGAATTGTAGGCAGATTTTTAGAATAGATATGCATGCATTTTATCAAAAAATAAGAGGAGGTACAAAATGAGGAGACATGATCAAACCCACCACTTAAACAAGAATCTTACATATATTCTACAGTATGCTCAACTTCCATGAAAATGATCAATGCCAAAACACAAACTATTTTTCTGCAGGCAGGCATTTGGAGAAGGGGCACATCGCTGGGGAGGTTATAGGTGGGATTTGGGGGGGGGTAGGTGTTTTAAAATGCATTTTAATTGTATTTATTGTATTTTAATTGTATTTTAAACCTAACACAAACAGCACTGTTTAATTGGGTTTTTTATTTTGTATATTTGCTTTGTTTTAAATTGATCATGGTGTGTGACTGTTAGCTGCCTTGAGTCCCTTTGGGGAGTAAGGT